GTGGGGTCTGCTTCAATGATCCACTGCTCAGGGAGCGGTGCTCCAAGAAGCTTTCTCTTGGAAAGGCTTCCGCCGTCACCACAGAATTCTTCTCGGCTCCCGATGCCCCCGGTGCCGGCAGGAGAGAAGTAGAACTGCGTGAAAACACCGGCATTTGCAGGGACAGGTACGCCGAACCCTCCAAACACGGGAAACGGCTGTCCGCAATCGCTCTCCCTGCATCGTTGATGACCAGGACACGGGCAGTCCGAGGCCACTTTCGAATGCAGGTCTCAGTTGTCTTAATATTCAACTTCACCCAGTCTTTTGCTGGGTACATACCTACTACATATTTTCTCTTCATACAATTCAATTATGTCCTTAAGTTTTAATGTCTCCAGTATGTCCTGTACTGTACAGTAAGCAAATGGTGAAGATTTATTTTGCTTTAAAAACTGGCAACTTTCCCCTCCTGACTCATTTAACCCTTTCACATTTACTGTGACACGTTTTGACTTTGTCCTTTTAAGAGCTCTGGTGCGGTAGTTACACCGAGGGCTGCGATCCAGCTTGTTGGCAGTTGGAAATCAGCGGCAGCTCCAAGGGAGAAAGACGGGCTGTCCACTCCCATAGCCAGTAAGTCTAGACAGACCCGCAGGGCTCACTGCAGGCCAGCAGTGACCCCATGGCAGCGGGTTTGGTTTAGTTCTTTTTGAACCTTCCTTTTCGAGACGTAACACAATTTGTTTTTCTCCCATTGCTACTCATTTTGAGTTTCCAATGAGTACCAATTGAATTTTATCATGTATTTTTACAATAAATTTCTTCCTCCCAAATATAGGAACGGATCCTCTTCCCATTATATATATGCTATTTTGACCCTAATATTTGACACCACTCATTTTACAAATAGTGTCTCAATGTAGCTGTATTAGAAACTCACCAGTTTCCCTCTGCTGTTCTTGTCTTGGCTCGTCCTTCCCTTCCCCCTGACGTGGTTCGGCATCCTCCCACCCTTGCCTCCCATGGTCCCCGCTTTCTTGTCTCTGCGCTGTCTGGCTACCCAGGTCTTCCCTCCATTGAGGAATTTCACTCGGTTGGACTTAACCCTTTCATAGTTGTTGAGTTTATTTGCAACTTATCTTAATTTACTCCCGAGGCATGTCTGTTACTTCAGGGATATCTTTTTCTTCTGTGCAAGGGTGCTGTGGCTCAGGAACAATTTCTTTCCTTGCAGTAGGGATCATCTCAGTGTGGCAGGGTTCATCGGCCCATAATCATGGAAGGTGAAGATGCCTATCTTTAGGCCTGCATGTGCTCAATGACCAGAGAACCTACCTCTAAACCAGTATTTCCCCCAGTAGGGGAAATGGAAAGTTTGGGTGGGGGCTGTAAAAGCACATACCTACTTTATCCTGGATGATGGGTGATAGTGTAAGTTAATTGCCATTGGGACACTATTTTTCCTGAAGGGGGGGGCCTCAGTACCCCTGCTGACAATTTAAAAATAGCCCTCTGTACTCTTGCACAATCCAGGAGCAAGTGCAGGCAGCACCTGCTTTTTCAGCCCCCTCGCTTGTTCCAGAGCCTCGCTTTCCCGGGGCCGCCTACTACGGGAAAGTTTTCGGAGTATGAGGGGAACCCCAAACAACCCAGCATTTCTTTTTCAAAGCCATGTATTTAAGTTTTTTACAAAACCACCTTATCACCTCAGAGGACTCTCCATGACACTTAGTACATCTGTCAAAGCTGCGATTCTGTTCTTGGAAACACTTTTCAAACACATCTGTTTGGATGGCTGACAGCACCTCTCCTACATTGTCAAATCACTATCCTTTCAAGTCCCTCTGCATTCACAGAAACAAAAAGCAGTCACATGGAGCGAGGTCAGGTGTCAGGTGTGTGGGGCAAGAGGCATGGTTTTTTGCCACAAACTGAAGCAGAGCTCTGACTGCCGAGTGAGCAGGTGCCGTCATGGTGGCAAAACCAGTCCCGTCTGCCACAAACCAGGCCTTTTGGTCACACTTTGTTGTAATACTTTCCACAAGCTCTTTACCAGCGGTTCTCAACCTTCCCAATGCCATGACCCTTCATACAGCTCCTCATGTGGTGCTGACGGCAACCATCACATTATTTTTGTTGCTAATTCGTAACTATAATTTTGCTATGGTTATGAATCGCAATGTAAGTGTCTGATATGTAGGATGTATTTTTATTGTTAATAATTGGACATAATTAAACAATTAAAAGCACAGTGATTAATCATGAAATATGTAATTATATATTGTGAAATACTTGTGTTTTCTGATGGCCTTAGGAGACCCCTGTGAAAGGGTCATTCAATGCCCAAAGGAGTCTCAACCCACAGGTTGAGAACCGCTGCTCTAAATAGAAAGCTTGATTAACAGTCTAACCTGTTGGAATGAACTTCCAATGCACTGAGTCAATGTTTTCTTCTTTTCAGAAAGTTGATGGATGTCCAAAACGGAGGTTTGTCATCAATCAACATTTCACTTTTTGAAGCGAGAAAACCACCCATACACTTGAGGTTTTCCCACAGCGCTGTCCTTGTAAGCTGTGCTCAACACAAGTTTCTGCAGCATTTTTCCTGAGCAGGAAACAAAATTTCACAGCTTCACGCTGTTCTCTTAAATTGGCCTTCACATACACAAAAAAACGAGGTTCAAATGAAACTGCTTTTATGAAAAAATTCACTGTGACCCAGGCAAGGCCACAGTAAATTGCTCGATACTCGCCTAGTGGGAGAAATGTGTACTACCAAAGCTCCACCTAGCAGTTTTCTGGGGGTTTGAGGGGTACCTTCATAAAATTCAGCACTCCGTGTAGGCCAGTAACTCTGATCCAATGCTGCTGCATGGCCTGGGCACACATTCCTCCCTCCCTCTCTCTGCCAGACAGAAAACAAGCCAAAATAAACAACTAGCAGCACAGTTCAATCCCACCTGGACAGGGCTGTCCTTGTATAATGCGTACTCAAGTATTCCAGGACAGAGAGCTCTGTCCTCCCATCCGATGACAGCACACCTTCCCAGGATTTTGTAAGGCAACCCTTCACACTGCCATTCACGTAAGATACTAGGCTTGAACTCATCACAGGCAAGAGACGGTGGAGAAAAAGTGCCACTAGTGTAGCACTAGCAGGCTAAAAGTGATCGGGTCTGGGGTCAGGTGAAGCTACAGTGGCCTGGGCTATGGGGGTTCCCCTTGATGACCACTCATGGCAAACGTATGCCTAGCTTTTATACAGGGCACCCACTGCTGGGCTTCTGCCTGAGCCCTTCAGCATTCCGTCTGTTCCACGTCCCCCCACCAATAAACTCACTTAAGCGGGGGGCTGGTATATAAAAGGCAGTAGACTCTGTTTATTCAGTGTGACTCAAGACCACACACACACACAAATACCACTTCTCCACCAGCGGGGGGCCCAGTGCAGGAGTGCTTCCTGGGACTCATTCACAGGTTGACAAGTTTCTCGTTGAGGGCTATCTGTGACTGCGTAAGGTTGGCCAGGTAGGTCACCATCAGCAGGTCCTGGAAGAGAGAGTAGCCACGAGTGAGTGCTTGGGCGGGAAGGGACCTGGACAGCCCCAAGGCGAACCTGGGGGTGAGGGAGGCGGGTAGTGAGGACTGTCCCTCGTAAGTAAGCGACAGACGGGTGGGAGGGAGAGAGGGTCAAAGATGGAAGGAGGAAATGCTGGAGAACACTTGCTCATCAAGAGGTGGCCCTTACAGACTCAGGGTTCCTGGGTGGAGAGGCAGACCGAACACGAGGGAGTGCCAGAAAGTTCATGGAAAAATTATATTATGTTTAATTCCACAAACTTTTCAAAGGTCCCTCATTGAAGGGGTCTGTGAATTCAGATGGGAAAAATACATTATATTTTCATTCACCTCTAACGGAAATTCGGATTTCTCTCTGCCATGAATTTAGATAAGAAATCACAGTGGCATCCACAGTGCCTGACTCCCATCACAGAGAGCAAGGATGGAGAAGGGACTCTCGGGAGCACGTGTCCGATCTCGTCCTGCCTCCCAACAGGGGAGGAAGGCAAAGCCCACTTCCTCTATGACTCCAGACCACCCTGCCCGACCCCCTGGCGTCCAGAGGCCCAGGAGGCACTCACGTTGATGTTGCTGTTGAGCATGGTCTCGAAGTCATCGGGAACGATTTTGGGTACTTGGTTAACCAGGCTCATCAAGAAGCGGCCCACGGTGTTGTCAGCTGACACCTTTCCAGACTGGACAGAAGCAGAGTTCATCCTCACCCTCGAGAGGACTGTGACCTCACCCACCGCACACCCTCCCGTGACCCTCGAGCAGGGATCTGTGCACCCACCGACTCCTTACCAGCACGTCCTCTGCATACTGCAACACCGTGCTTAGGGCATCCTGGATGCGGGCTGACGCCCCTCCGACTTGCTGCAAGTCACTTGAGAGCCCGATCACCCGGTTGGAGCTAAAGCAGGTCTTCATAATTAGATCAACTGTGGGGCGATGTGAAGAGACATGGCAACCCAGTCACCCCAAGATGATGGAGACGGTCTCCATCCAGCCCTTGTGACTCTCCACCCAGCTTTGGCTTCCATTAGCTTCCCCAAATCCCGACTCTCTATACTATGCTCCCTCCGCCCAGCAGAGCCAGCTCCTTCTCCCAGGGCTGTGCTACTCCACGCTTTCCATTCTCCAGGAAGGGCCCCGCAGCGCCTGCAGCTGAGGGCTTCTGATCTGAACAGTTTCTTAAACCACCCCTAGAATTCTACTCACACGGGAGGGTGCCTGGCTGCTAACCAGTGTAACCCAGGCAATAACTCTCATCCCCAAATCCAAAATCATTTGTTTCATTATTATTATTTTTTAAAGGCACGAGACACACACGAGACCTAGAAATTCAGAATTCTAACAGCGAGACTCCGGCCCCTGTGTTTAGCTAAAGTTCAAGGCCCTCTTACATGTGCTCACGTTTGCTCTCCCTCCCACAGTCAGACCGCAGCTACTCATGGGCAATCAGGTCAGTTTCTGAGCCCTCTGCACCCCCACTGGCCTGAAGGTCCAATGAGCCACTTCCACACTGAGCCCCGAACACACCTGACTAACAATGCCTGAGGGTCTCACAGGACTGGGGAGAAAACACCTGTTAGGAGACAGGCCAATATGAAAAAGGGACTTGCAATGGGCTTGGAAAAGGAGGGAGGGAAAGGGCAAACCTGATGTGACTGTGGCATTACAGGGGTGGAAGTCGTAGAACCGAGCACCTGCAAGCCACCAATGCAATGTCAAATCGTCTGCTAACCCTGTCAGAGGACGGCAGAGCATGGGCCGAGGAGTGGGGTGCTCACACGCCGTCTGCGGACAGACTGCGGCACACTGGTGATACACCACACACGGGGCGCTGTGCTCTTCAGCAGTTCATCTGACTGGTGTTAAAAAGCCTGCCCCGATACGGATGAAGCGGATCCTATACCGCCAGCAGCACAGGCCTCATCACTGGCAGCGAAGAGCTGCAGTGGGCTGGGGGACCCGCGCTCATCCAAGTCCACCAGACAGTCCCAACCTGCTGGAGAGCAGCAGCTGAAGAACTAGCTTTGCCTCATAATTATGTCGGCCCTGAGAGGGAGAGAAACGAACAGAAGCTCACTATTTTGACAACTGGCCAATGAGGACACGAGGGAAACGGACTGCAAACCAACCGTGTGACTGATAAGTAGCAGAGCCAACTGATGAGTGGAAGTCGGACACCTCTCACCAATGAGGCAGAGAGGGGCTGCCAAGTAGATTTTAGGGCAGAAATGAGATGAGGCTGGCTGAGGTTGGTGTCAAGAAGGTATGGGGGTAGAAAGCAGGGTTGAAGGGAGAGGAGGACTAGGTGGCTGGGCCAGGGCAGGGGCCTGCCTTTAGCCAAACTAGCAGAGAAAAAGCAGAAAACGCTTAGGGAAAAGTAGAAGCAAGGCTAGATGCTTCATTTAGGGAAGACCAAGATAGTTTACTTTCAAGAGACAAGGCTAGAGATGTGGGTTGGCACAATCTCATATAGCTAACAAGCACTACATTGTCTTCTGTGGACTATTCGAGAGGCCTGCCGTTCTTATATGGCGCATCCACTTCTTTCCCCCCATGCCAGAGCCGAGGAGGGTCTTCGAAGGCTACTCACCTCCGATGCGTTCAGTGTCGTAATACGCATACCTCACGGTCAGAGGTGTGAACATCACCCCCATGGTCCTCCCAGGGACACCCATTAAAGTGCTGGGGAGAGAGGAGGTCAGGGTAAGCAGATGGCCTTGGGAGAGGGTTCCATGCCTCGTCCGGGCTGGAAAGGCAACCACAGCAGGGAGAAGAGAATGGAGGCAAAGTATGGTCTCCAAGGCTCCGGATAAGAAGGCCAAGACCACCGGGGCCCTTGATGTCTCATGGGAACAAAAGTCACCTTTTCCTCTTAGGTCATGCCACACACCAAGCCGTTAGCCTTTGAGGGGACTCAGCTTTTGGGCCCGGCCTGGTACCTTTTAGATTCTAAAAGGGGATTAATCCACACTGCACATCTGGGTGAGGAGAACCGAGGTCTGGATTTGCCTGTGGAGTTGGCTGTCCATACTGTACTCCCGTGAAAGAGAGGGGCAGGTCCTTTCTGGGACTGCTCTTCATCAACACCTGACCTTGGTTCACATATATGACTCCCTATAGTTTATGGGAACTATAAAAACTCTCACTAAGGAAGTTCACCTTGACTATGGCAGTGAGCTTAGATTGAATGGTATCTGTTAAAGTAAGAATGGGCTTTGTTAGGAGGCAGCGAGCTCTACACTGAAGGAAGTCAGTTGGTTTGGGAAGAAAGACCAGGTTTGCTCCTCCTGTAGAGAGCTGCAGTCTGGGAAACTCACAGGGACAGTTCGGCCTTGTCCGATAGGGTTGCTATGAGTCAGCATCGACTCAATGGCAGTGAAGAGTCTGTTTTGGGGTGGTGGCAATGGAGAGAAAAGGTGAGTCATCTAGGATGAGCTAGAGAGTGTCTTCAGCCCTAGTGGCCCCAGGCTGTGGTTACCTGATATAGGCCTTGATGCTCATGCGGCCGTTCTGGAGGCTGGTGTCCACAGTGAGGTGAATGGGGTTGGGGGCCTCTCGGCTGTAGTATTCATGGATCAGCACCGAGTGCTCAGTGATGTCATGGCCTGTAGCGTACCTGGAACAGGGAACACAGGCCTGGGGGTCAACAAACGAACCCATGCCCCCACAGGACACAAACACATCTGGTGTGGCAGCAGGGGTGTTTCTCGATACCTGACACCCTGGAGAGCAACACACAGCCCACTGGCATCAAGTCGATTCTGACTCGCAGCGAGCCTCTACGAGTCGACCTGCCCACATGGCTTGAGCCTGTGAACCTTTGCAGGAGAAGAAAACTCTCACCCTCCTCCTTCGGAGAAACTGGTGGATTTGAACCACCGCTGACTTCTGTCAGCAGCTCAACGCGTGAAATGGATGAAGTGACACAACGCCAATGGTCAGCATTCTCTCCTCACACCGAAAAAGTACTGACCTAGAGCTCTTGAAAAATTCGAAGCCACCAACCAGCAAAGCAAAAAGATCTGCCCAGTGAGAGCTACAACTCAAAATAGCTGTTCCTGGTCTGTCAAGGATGAGAATCCCCAGCAAATGGTATTGAACTCCCAAACTGGCAGGGCACACCTGGCGGCCGGCCACCGTGGCAGGCTTCCCACTTCCCCCATCGACTCACCAGCCCAGGATGAGCTCATTTGGAGACACTTTCTTGTGTAATTCATACATGTTCTTTGCAAATTCCATGTCCACGGCCACCTATGAAGGCAGGCAGGAAAGAATCAGCAGCCAGTGAGAGAACATACACTGAGAGGCCACCCCCAGCTATGAGACCAGGTCCAGGAGCCCACATGTGGAAGCAGCACCCTGGGCTGTCATTTGAGTTACAAATAGTGCAGTGTACAAGGAGTCGAGCAAATGAGCTGCTGGAGACGACAGAGGGGCCGGGCCCCACCCAGAAGCCCACTCACCTCATCTTCAGACTCATTGTGAGGCACTGAAAAGCAATTGGTCACTTCCACTGAGTGCTTGTCGACAGTGCCTGTAGGAGAGAGAAGCACTCAGGTATAATCCCAGAGCTCCGAACACTTTCAAAATGCTTCCCAGGGGTCTCTAAAGGGCCAGTGGCCATCATACTGGTTCCAAGTTCAACCAGAGGCATCAATGAGGCCAGGATTCTCCACAGAAGGGAAACCGGGGAAACCGTCAACTTCCTCTACTCATTGGCAAACAGACTGTTCTTTTTAAAAAATCATTTCATTGGGGGCTCGTACCATTCTTACCACAATCCATACATATAGCCACTGTTCTTTTTAAATGGGGTCTCCTTTTGTCCATCGGCTACTTTCCACTAAACGCCCTCTTGTAGACTTCTGCCCTATGACCTTTATGTACATCTTTCCCCTAAATCTTAGTCCGCGGAGGATATGCGTAGTGAATAGATGTCAATTCAACACGTTTCTACAGTACACGGATTGTACTCGAGCTGACAGCCATCTCACCCTCTGAGTTGTCCCTCCCAAGAACCTCACATCTTTCCAGCTGCTATTGCTTACCACTCATGGCAAACTTTTTTTTCCCACTAGTCCAACTGACCTATGGTTCAGGTTTAAGGCTTCTGAGGTTATTTTTGATTTAAAGTTTAAACATTATCCCAGGGCAATAGTTTTAGGGGCTCAGCTATCCTCCAAGGCTCCAGTTCTTTTGCTCTGAAAGCAGAAAGACAATTTACCACTCATTCCCTAGCCTCCCATTCTTGACTTCCCTTCTTCCTCTGTTGTTCCAGGTGAATAAAGACCAAATGGTGACCCTTGGATGGCCACCTGTGAGCTTTTAAGCCCCCAGGCACTGTACAATGAACTAGGTGGTAGGACAGAAACACTATACGCACTATTAGGCCAATTAAATGGGGTGTTCCAGAAAACCATGGATGCAAACCTCCAAACCAGCAAACACCTCGTGAGGTTTTTGGTCATTTATTATAATCAAATATATAACAAAAGACTCGCCAATTCAACATTCTTTTACATAGACATACAATTCATTGACAGTGGTTACGTTCAGCATGTTGTGTGACCCTCGTCCCTGTTGGTTTACACCAGTAACGCAACTCAGTGACCCCTCAGAAAAATGGTGCCCCTACTTGGCACCAGTCCGCTCTGACTTGTGGTGACCCTACAGGGCAAGGCAGAATGACCCCTGTGGGTTTGGGACTGTAACTCTTTAGGGGAGTCGAAAGCCTCATCTTGGCTTCCGTACACTTGTCTATTTGACTCAAGTGGGTCCACACAGTATTTTATGCACTTGATTTTTCAGTCTCAAAGAACACTGGTGGTCCAGCGGTCCGGTGTTAAATGGTCAGTGGTTCAAACCCATCATGCACTTCTAACCTTAGACGTGGCAGTCTGCTTCCACAGAGAGCTCAACCTAGAGACCCCAGGGAGCCCTTCTACTCTGTCCTGGAGGGTTGTTGTGAGTCGGAATCATCCAGAGGAGCTTCACCACCCTTCTATTAGAATACTGCTTTCAATTCTAAGTGCCTAAGAGCGTCTGGTACCTAAATGGTATTAGTGTTTCCTTGGAACAAAATAAAGTGCTTCTTGCACTCGTGTGGCCCTGAGACACTTGTTACGTTCCTATTAGGACACCTCGCAGTGCACTTCCATCCAAAGAGTCACTATAATATTTGGGGCATGAAGCATTAACCTTGATTGGAGAATTATGCCTTTAGTTAAAAGGGTTCCACTGAGGTCAGGAACCTTGACAGGGCAGCGGAAGAGTATGTTACTATTTGTTGAGTGCCAAGTCAACGATGCGAAAAGTATGTTCCAGGAACTCTAAGCAGGGCAGTCACAGGATGCTCTCCCGCTTCCAGGGTTTAAGAATGGGTTGTGGCAGCCTGCTCCTACTTGATCGCTGAGGACAAAGGGGGTGCATTAGCAAAAGTGGTGAAGAAAGCAGATGGTGCCTGGCTTTCAAACGATACAGCATCTGGCGTCTTAAAAGGCTTGAAGACAAACAGGCGGCCATCTAGCTAAGAAACAACAAAACTTACAAGAAAGAAGCACACCAGCCTACCCCGACATGAATGCTGAAGACAAAGCGGGTACATAAGCAAATGTGGTGAAGAAAGCTGATGGTGCCAAGCTGTCAAATTACACAGAATCTGGGGTCCCACATGCTGGAAGATAAACAAGGGGCCATCTAATTGAGAAACAACAAAACCCACATGGAAGAAGACGGCGAAGGGGTCAGGTATCAGGCATCAAAGACCAAAAATAAAAAATAAAAATTCTTAACATTGTGAATGAGGGGGAGTGCAGAGTGGGGACCCAGGGCCCATCCAGGGGAAATTGAACATCCCCTTGCAGAAGGGCTGCGGGGAGGAGAGGAGCCATTCAGAGTGCAGTGTAGTAACGATGAAATATGCAACTTTCCTCTAGATCTTAAATGCTTCCCTCCCCCCCCACTACCATGATCCCAATTCTACCTTACATATCCGGCTGGACCGGAGGATGTACACTGGCATAGATAGGAACTGGAAATACAGTGAACCCAGGACAGATGAACCCCCCCAGGACCAGTGGAGAGAGTGGCGATAGCGAGAGGGTGGAGGGAAGGTGAGGGAGAAAGGGGGAACAGATGACAAGGTCTACATATGGCCTCCTCCCTGGGGAACAGACAGCGGAGAAGTGGGTGAGGGAGACGTTGGATGGGGTAAGATATGATAAAATAGGATGGGGTAAGATATAAAATAATAATAATTTATAAATCATCAAGGGTTCAGGGAGAGGGGGGACCGGGGAGGGAGGGGGGAAAATGAGCTGACACCAAGGGCTCAAGTGGAAAGCTGGTGTTGTGAGAATGATGAAGTCAACATATGTACTAATGTGCTGGACACAAATGATTGTGATGAGTTGTATGAGCCCCTAATAAAATGATTATTAAAAAAAAAAAAAGAATAAAGTATTATGAATGCCAAAAAAAAAAGAATGGGGTGTGGGTAGCGTATGGGACGGAAGATGGGCACTAGCCATTTGTTCTGTAACCTGGAAGACGGGTGAACTTTTAAAAGACACAAGGGAAGTACAGCAGGGTGGCACCTGTGAATGGACATTATAAAGGCTTGGTTTGAGGAAAGCTATGGCTATGCTTGGAAGACCATGATCAAGTTAGTTTCTAGAAACATTTTCAATAAAGTACCCATGAAGAAAGGAGGATGTGTGTGTCTGGGGAGGCATAGTGGGCAGTTTGAACCCATCAGTCTCTATGGGAGAAACACGTGGAATCAGTTTCTACCGCCTGGAAGACACTACGAGCAGTTCTACTCCATCCTACAGGATTGCTATTAGTCAGAATGGACTCGCTGGCTGTGAGTTTAGGCCCCTCTTGGTACCACTGGTTTGTACCTGACCAGACTTAGTTGCTTCCTATAATAAAACATTTCTTACAAAGACTGTAGTCTAAAGCAGCTCTCAAAGGAACCAACTTTTGGTGACTTTAAGGGACAGGGCTAACACTTGGTGGAGCCTACCTACAATGAGAAATGATGCGTGGGACTGGCCTGGGTCATCCAAGATGTCAATAATGTGTGCTGAAATGGACTGGAAGTGAATCTGCTGGGACCAGCATTCCCAGAGAAAAGAACTTACTATTAGCAACACACCTCAGTGCTTTTCTTTTTTAAACAACTGTAACATATGTATTCACCAAACTTGGAGCATGGGCTGGGAGAGGGCTACTCTTTATCTGAAAGTTTAACAGCATCACAACTATAAGAATTAATTGTTTCTGTCCAAACGCAGGAGGGGCAGCAGTGGGTCTACCACATCGAGGCAGAGTATTAAGGGAGATGCAGGGGCAGAGGAGCAAGCTCACAGGCTTAGGACGACTGTAAAACCATCAATGGGCACCGGCCAAACTGGTTTACTTATTGGGGAGCAGCATCTTTTTACAGATGCCGCCACCCCTGTGCCAACGCTGGTGAAAATGGCGTTGTTAGCGTCTGACAAAGACATTTCGTCTGCGGCCGGAGGATGGGGCTTAGGGAGTGAAGAGCTCTCCTTCCGGCTTAGTTGCGGGCTGGCATTTGCGCTGGGTTTTGGTGGCTTGGGGCTAATCACATTTGCTAAAGGCTGTTGGGAATGAAATGCAAATTACTCGGTACACGGTATTTAGTCAACGAAGACTAACTGCTCCTTCGGTGTTTCACCTCGCCCCAAACGATAGCACAGCTGATACAGGCGAGGAGAGTCCAGTTCTTTGGGAAGATGTCACAGCAAGTGGGGATGAGTGACAAGAAAGAAGTCAGCGGTGGCGGAGGCGGCAGGACGCCTGAGACGAGAGGGGTAAAAAGGGGGAGGAAGACGCTGGGAAGACGTGGGGGG